AACCAGCAGCCGCGGCGGCAGCACCCCCAGCTAGCATCGTTCCCATTCCCATGCCAGATCCACGCCCTGTAATATATATTATATATATATAATTTTTTTTTAAGTCAGCACAAATTGCAACGAAGATGATATATTCAATGGTCCTTGCATTATAATTACAGAGAGGTAACACTACTTGCACTACATGACTTTCTCTAAGTTGATGCCTGAGAATGATGTTCTGAAACTCTAATTGATGCTTGTGATCCTCCAAAAACAATGTTGAACAGTGTAATGTAACTCTACCAACAGCCTCTCTAACTATGCTCATATTGAATGGTCATAAGCACCTGTTTTGGATCAGTTGAAACCTTTTTTTTTTTTTAAACCAAATTTAACTGGACAATAATAGTAAAAAAGGTAGCTCCATCAAAACCACAAAACTTTGAGTGGTTCAGTTCGGTTCTTGGACAACCCTAATGTTAGGCAAGGTTCCGACAGACAATTTTGTTGATTTTAGATTGAAAACAAAACAAGTGATTCGAATACCTGAATGATGCGGAGCTGATTGACCTGGATAACCGGCTGGCGGATATCCACCAGCCGCAGGATTGGCGGTTGGTGGATATCCTGCAGGGGGAGTGGGATACCCAGATGGAGGGTACCCACCTGAAGGAGAGTGTCCACCATGGGGAGGGTACCCGCCTTGGGGAGGGTACCCGCCTTGAGGAGGGTACCCGCCGTGGGGAGGGTACCCCCCTTGAGGAGGGTACCCACCTTGGGGAGGGTACCCGCCTTGAGGAGGGTAACCTTGTGGGGGATATCCATGCTGTGATCCAGGCCGGGGAAAATGTCCAGCAGCAAAGCCAGCAAGATTTGAAAATAGCCCTCTGTCACTAGACTCATCATTGTTGTTTGTTCCCCCTCCCATCTTACTTCAACTTGAAACTAAAGCCTACATAAAATTATCTTTCAATAAATCACTGGGGAAAAGAAAGTAACAGGAAGGAAGCAAACACAGCCAACAGCCACACCCAAATCATATCATACTCTTCCTTGGAACAATTCACTACTTTGACCGAGTCCAAAAGAACAGATACTATTAAATGCAATGTGACCATTTACTTGTTAAACAGAAGTCCTTTTATCAAAATAGTTTCTACTTCACAGGTTATAGTTAATAGCCATTATTATTCTGCTAAACTTCAAATGCATAGAGAACATCTTGGAACCAAGCTACCACACCCATGATAAAGAGAATTTCCAATCAGAACTTAGCTCTACCTATTGTGCACAAGTGTATATAGAAAATTGGGATGAATAACAGCAAATCAACTCGCCAGATAAACCAAATTTAAGAGCATGCATCCATGTAGTGGACCCATGAGAATGTTAAGATGGATGATAGGAGTGACTAGAAAAGGCAGAATTAACAATCACTGTATTAGAAAAATATTGGAACTAAACGAAGGTAAAATATTGGAACTAACACCTGGAAACACCCATAAACGAAGGTAAAATACTAAGATGTCGATTAAGACTAATATGAAATAAGAAAAATGAAAATATCTGATTTGAAGTACGACACATAATAAATAAATAAAAAGTGTAAGATGGTAATTCAGATAATAGGACCGGTATGTATGAGATGAAGGCAAGTATGACGATGATGATCAGTAACTGAACTTGTCAAAGGAAATCCTTTGAACATTTTTCTAATAATTTCCTTTATAGGTCTTTACAAAAACAAAGAATCCATTAGAAGTGTGATACATCTCTATTAGATTTAATAAATGAGAAATACCAAAAGGTGCTGTCTTCTTTTTCCACGGCTAATTCAACACCCTCTGGTGTCAAAAGTTCAGCAGATATGCAGCAATTCTATAGAAAAAAAAAATTTAAAAACCATATAGCTCTGGAAGTGAAGGTTACAATCTATTGTTTTAACCCTAATAAAATTATGGAATTGTGAAAGTGATTTTCTTTTACCATTTAAGTAAATCCCCCCTTACTATCAAAACACCCCATCAGTTCAAACTTTTTCAGAAGGTTCAATAAAATGAACACAATTCTAAAAGGCCACGCTTTTGAACATTGAACTCCAATAAATTTGATGATCTAAAGAATGCATCTCAATCTTGATCTATTCAACATAAAGAAAGACACATGTAATACTACACCCAATTGCCACATGATACCATATTAAACACTAATTCCTAACTTTTGCTACACTTTTTTTCTTTTGGTAATGCTTTGACCAAAGGATAATTTCATGATCATTATGTGACATAGCGACCTTTAAATTGAGCACATAATGCACAATGTACCTCAATGTCTATCATAATGGATACTTATCACAATGAAAAACGAAATCCCAAAAGAAGCCCAAGTAATTTTGTTTTTTACACAAGCGATATTGGGGAGGGGCATACGAACACATGATTTTCGATATAGAATTAACTTTTTTAACCACTTGAGCTACAAGCCCTTTATAGAGGCCCGTGTTATTAAAAGCATGGTTTTGGAAAGGATGAAGAGGAAAGCTGTTAGCAGCAATTCCATCTATCTATTCAACAAAGATAAAGAAGAAGATGAAATTCATGAAATCACAATGCAAGAAGAAACCTCTTTTTCTAGGATTCGAAATCCATGATCTCAAATATCCCATGACCAACCCACCATTAAGATTCAAACAAGAAACCCATGTTCAATTCAGGCATAGTTTTCAGAAAAATGAAAAGAAAAGCGGTTCCATAGACTGCATTCAACAACAACGATAAGAACAAAGAAAGAAAAACAAATTCATAAATCTACATACCCAGAAGAAAATTCTTAGAGCAACAAAAGATCATCACGATTTCAAAAGCAAATAATATAATTATTCTTAGTGAATAGGCGGCAATTATGGGGAGAAAGATTGAGATTGCTCACCAAATTTATGGATGTTGCAGACTCTTTGAAACGGTGGTTTGTGGTGTGACAATTTTTTGGAAGTGTTTCTTTTTTCTCCTGTTAAGATTGCATGCGCGGTTCCTTCGAGGCTTCGACCTTAAACAAACACACAAACAAATGCGTGTGCAAAACGTTTTTTCCTTTTTCTTTTTTTTGTCCAATACGTGTGCAAAACTTTTTGATACAAGCGATATTAAAAGTGGAAAAATGGAACCTAAGAAAAGAACAGTGGATAAGATGTAAAATAATTTGTGAGAAAAAGGAAAAAAAATGTAAAATACTTTTAAATAGGAAGTTGTTGAAAATGAGAAGGAAAGAGAGAAAGAAGTGGGAAGATGCTAATTTGTTAAGAACTAACGGACTAATTATTTTTCTGTTTGTGGCTTTTGCCTCTTAATGAAATCCCTTTTCGTCCAAAAAAAAAACGGACTAATTATTTTCATTTAGTACTAAATCACTCACGTGCATTTAGAGAGTGGTTTACGTCGTGAACCGTTCAATGTTTAGATTCTCATTTGAAAATTATTCCTATAAAATCATTCTAAACATATCTAATCGGGCCCAATTTGATTTTGTTACCACTGAGTTTTTCCATGAGAGCCGATTTGATCCAAAGTGTTCATTGATTATTGTTCGGTTAGGCCTTCTCCAACCCATGAAGCACTAAACCCAAATTTCCCCTCTCCAAAAAATAACTATTTGGGTTTTGCCTGAACTCAAATCGTTTTTTCTCCCAACCCTCCGTACTCAAATTTTAAATCCGCAACTTTATTAAATTGTTTAAGAATGGTTTAAGTCTAATTTTCTTTTTTATGGAAAACTTTTCTTCATTTAATATTTTTAAATAACTTTATAATTTAATTTTTTGAACAATTTGACATTAAAAAATTGAAATTCTACAAATATAATTTTATTCCAAAAGAAAACACACAACATTAAAAAAAAAAAAAAATTGACAAAGAAAAAATAAATTGAGAAATAGAAAAAATATTTTAGGTAGATTAATTGATAAATGGGTGAGTATTTATAGAGTTTGGAGCGAGTTTTGGGGTTGGATCTAATTTAGATTAGTTAAAAATATTATTTTGACCGTTTAAAATAGCTTATATTTCATCTAGATCGTTGATTTAAAGTTACTATTAGAAGTTTATATTTTTTTTAAAACGAAATTTGAATTGCAACGGCAACTGAAGTTGGAGCCGACACATGGTACCTTCTGCGTCAGTCCAACAGACAAAGCCAATAGCACGGGCCCCAATCTTCTTTCTGATGCACATGGGCTGTGCCAGTTGTAGGTGGGCTCTACTGAATAGTTTTGGGTCAAGGCAATACTTAAACTGGTATTTGGGTCCAAATTTGGGTTTTCCCAAATTTTAGCCCCTTCATTTTCTTGGGTTGGGAGAGATTTTGAGCTATAATTTGGGATATTTTGGGTTTAGCCTCTTGGGTTGGAGATGGCCTTAGTGATTATGGAGGTGGGTTGGATGGAACTAACTTGTGCTCATTTGTACGTGAATATGATATCTAAATTTACAATTTGGCAATGCAAGTATATGTAGCATTTATCTTACGACATAAGTTTGGTAAGAGGTGGCATGCTACACAATGCAAATGCACATTAAATATGTTCTATTTTGTTTTTATTTTTTATTTTTTATACAAATAATATTGGAGGAGGTGGAATTGAACTTAAGATCTCAAATGCAAAGACAAATGTTCAAGTGATTAAGATATTATTATATTATTATAATATTATTATATTATTATATTTATACAAACAATATTGGAGGAGGTGGCATGTAGCTCATGCCCCCCTACATACTATTATATTTTGTTTGATAAAAGGATCATAAGAGCGTCAACGGACTATATTTGACGTGAAAGACGAGACATGGGTCAAAGCTAATTGAGCAATTTGCAATCTGTTTTATGTCTTATACAATAATTATTATTATTATTATCAAACATAAGGCGAAAAAAACCTCGGGGCTAACCTAGGTGTGAGTGAGGGTAAAGACTAGAGGCTTAGGATTAGAATAAACCATTTCCAAAACAGAACTCAAAATTAATTGAGGATAAAAAGAAAAGAGAGAATTCTTGAAGTGGTTTTAGAACAGAAACTTCATTTACATCACAAGAACGAAAATAACTAGAACGGCATATATATAATAGCAGTTTTTAATAAAAAAGAATCCAAAAAATCCTGTCTGAAGTGATTTTCAGAAAGCCAATTGTAGAATATCCTTATCAACAGAGAGACTAAGATCTTCAACCGGCCATTATATTTTGCCTAGGTCCATTATATCACTTCCATTTCTTGAACTTGCCCCCAAAGCCAAAGCGCTTGCCAAATTTCCCATGTTTGAACTTCCCATGACCATGACCGTGTTTGAACTTCCCATGACCATAGCCATGGTGACCCCCATAACCATAGCCGTGCTGACTCCCGTGCACAAGATGGTGAGCCCCATAAGCAACAGCTGCAGCTGCAGCACCCCCAGCTAGCATCCCTCCCATATTAGGTCCATGCCCTGCAATTTTTTTTTTTTTTTTTTTTTTGAGTTAGCAAAAATGAAACAAACATAGTGGCATAGCATATATTACTATACAACCTTTGTTAGCAAAAACTTAAACAAAAATAGAGGCATAGCATTTATTACTCTACAACCTTTCGGTTCTTCATATCCGATGGTCCTTAACATGTAATAGAGAGATGTAATATCACATACAATTAACATGCTATATTCATGGTCCTTCTCATCTTACATGCAATGGAAAAATTGGTGCCCAGGAATACTATTCTGAAACTCTATTTGAACTTTGATGCTCATGATCTACCACAGAAAAAAGTGCAATGGTCTATGCAATTACCAACAGCTTTCTAGCTATTCCAATAATCAATGGTTTAGCTATTCACATATCCAATGGTCATCTGCAACAGCCCTAGGTAACCTAGGTTCTTACAGTCAATTTGTTATGAGAGGAAAAACAAAACAAAGGATAGGATAATACATCACACTCTGGCCCTTTTAAGCTATCTGTCACAACTGAATCAGCGGAGGGACCGGTCAGGTATAAGTATAACCTTACGAAGTCACAATTGAAACTAAACTCTACACAGAATCTCATGTCATATAATATAAGTAAACAAATAATGGTGATTCGGTTACCTGAATGGTGAGATGATGGACCTGGATATCCGGGTGGTGGATATCCGGCTGGTGGATATCCAGCTGGTGGATATCCACCAGGGGCAGGATAGGCAGATGGTGGATATCCCCCAGGGGGAGGATATCCAGATGGAGGATACCCTCCTGCAGGAGGGTACCCACCTGGAGGAGGATACCCACCAGGGGGAGGGTACCCAGGTGGTCCATGTGCTTGTGGAGGATATCCATATCCTTGTGGAGGGTATGATCCATGCTGTGGGTAGTGTCCAGCAGCATATCCAGCAAGTTGTGAAAAGAGCCCTTTGTCATTAGACTCATCTTTGTTGTCTCTTCCACCGTCCATCTTACTTCAACTTGTAACTAATGCACACATAAAAATCATAATTCAAAAAATCAGTTGGGAAACCAAGAACCAAAAGTAATCAAATAGAAACAAGCACACTAACAGCCACTAAGCAACCCCACATCATATCATAGTCTGAATGGTGCCCAATGTATGCAAAGTTCACTACTTTAACAGAGTCCAACCAAGAAAAACACAGAGACTATGTTGCAGAGAAGATTCACAAAATTAACACAACCTAAAGATTCTTAAATTTGGGCAACCAAGATCTTTAACTTTTTAAACAGAAATCCTGTTATCATAATGGTTTCTACTTCGTATATTATATAGTTAATAGCATGAACTGTTTGGCAAAACTTCAAATCCAAAGAGATCATCATCATCTTGGCAAAAAGCTACAGATACCCAAATAGAGTTAAATTATCAAGCAGCAGGTTTTTACACATGGACAAGTTTATTTCTCACATATTACATGCCCAACCGATCGTTAACATTAAAAAAAGAAACCCATCTTCATCAACAGCATAGTTTTGAGAAAACCCAAAGGAAAAGGGGTTAGGAAGCTGCAACTCCCCACCCACTTCATTCAACAACAAAGAAAGCAAAAAAGAAGTAACCCAAATTCACAGATCCACAAACCCAGAAGAAAATTCTTGGAGCAATTAAAGATTACCACGATTTCAAAAGCATAGACTAGAATTATTACTATAGAAAAAGAAGCTAAAAGCAATGGAGAAAGATGGGTATTGCTCACCAACTTGATGCTATTTTTTGTTTTCTGTGTAAATCACCAAATTGGTAGTTTGTGGTGCCACAATTTTTGTTTCAAGATTGCATGCGGCTTCGGCCTTAAACACACAAACAAAAGCGTGTGGAAATTGTTTTTCTCTCTTTTTGTCAAACGCGTAGAGGGAGCTTAAAGAAGAAGCTTTGAAGTACTTCTAGGAAAATAGGAGGGAAGGAGGGGAGTTGATGAGAATGGTAAGGAAAGGGAAAAGACCAGGTTTTTTTTTTTTTTTGGGTCAAGGGGAAAAGACCAGGTTGATTTGTAATGTAAATGAGTAGAGGAGGCTACACACGTTTTGTACGCCTTCTGTCTTTGTGAGGCAATTTGAACCAATTTAATGGCTCTTTCTACCCTTTAAAAAAAATTCTTATGGTCAATAAAGTTACTACTCTTATTTATAGTTTGAACTTTTATTATTTAAACATCTTTTTCTTTTCTAAAAAACATTCCACCTAAAAGATTAAACGGCCACCACCATGCTCCACGCCACCTACCAATTCTCTTGCAACCCTAGTGACGAGCAGTGTGAAGGAGAGCACCGATAATTTCATCAACATTGAGTTGGTGTTTGATATAACAAGAATCAGATGTCTGAGCGAATATAAAAGTTTATACATAAGAAATTTGAATTTAAGTTTTTTTTTTTTAACATGTAAGGAAAATTCGAACTTATGATTTCTTCAAATATTAGAAAAAAAAATACTAGTAGACGAAGAACTAGTTGATAATTTGTATTGTGTTAACACAATGAAAAATGTTTAAAGGCCCTATTTTTCTCTTATGTGTTTGTTTCTTCAAACTACAAAACTTGATAAACACACTACATCATTACATTAAAACATAATAATATTTTTGTGTAGATAAAGAACCAATTGAAAGTGTGATTGTGTACAATTAGCTTATTGGTTTTCTTAATATCCTATTGCTACAATTATTTAAAATAAAAAATTTGGTATCATATTTAACAATATTTTGATTTACCAACGAGGTAAAGAATTCTTCCAACAGAAACACCACAAAAAATAATTATTATTTTTATATTCATATTAATAGGTTGGATTCTCATCCTCTTATCCACATGACATACGACATTAAAGTTTAATCCACCACAAGAATTAATGGACCGCGTGACATCAAAGCGTGTGCTTTTGCTTTATTATATGTCATCCATAAGATAAGAGTTTTATTTATAAAAAGGCCCACCAACTCTTATAACTTTTAAGGTTGGCCCGGTTTGTTTTCGTGTTCAATCTTCTTAACTACCCAGTCTTAATCCAATTATGCTCAAGATAGGCGAATTTAAATACAAAAAAAATTAGAAAAGGGGAGGAAATAACGAATTCAGAAATTAAAGATTGCAAGACAATATTTAAATATCAAACATGCACATTCAAAATTTTCACTTCTAACTAAAGTTGTGCTTTTATCACATGACGGTAGGACAATCACAAACAAAATTTTCTTGCAATTACAGTTGTCTCGTGGCTATAATGACCACCCCTAATATGACACTATTCCAATTTTGCTTGAATCAACACCATCTACGTACAAATTACAATAATGCATCACATGATAGCTACATCTCCTCCTTTGATTCTCTCAATTGATTAATCCCTTTTATTGTCTCTCATGATTTTCTATCTTGATTTTCATGAAAACAAAAGGAACATGTCTTGATCTACATACATACTTTACATATACCGGGACATCTTCAGACCAAAAGAGACTTGAACGTCTTTACTAACTAACTCTTGGTCTAGTAATATTCATCTTCCAAAATATTGAAAGAAATCTCAAATTTGATTTCCTCGCCCGATCAAAAAATACATCTTTAAGAAATACAAGGCTGTGCACCCTATTTAGTTTATCAATTTAGGCCAATGCATTTGGGCCTTTGAGGCATTCATCATATATGAGTAGCTGCCAAAACAATTGCCTATAGATTGGCAATGCAACTAAGCATTCCATCCACTAGCCTTCTCAAAGGAAAGCTTGCTTTTTCCCTCGTACTTAAATCATAGGAACAAAAACAACTAAATTACACGACATATATAATATATAGCATTATTGAAAGAAACAATAAGACAACCCGAAACAGCATAGCTGTAATAATTATTAGAAAGCCAATTACAGTATAAGATTATTTATAGACTTAGATCTTGAACCGACCATGATATTTTGCCTGGATCCACTCCATGATCACTTCCATTTCTTGAACTTGCCCCCAAATGGCTTGCCATACTTCCCCTTTCCCTTAAATTTGCCATGTTTGAACTTCCCATGAGAACCCCCATAGCCCTGGTAACCCCCACCGTAACCATATCTTTGGCCATGGCCCCCATGTGCAAGATGGCTAGCCCCGTAAGCAGCAACACCCCCAGCTAACATCCCTCCCAGTCCCATGCTAGATCCATACCCTGCAGTATGTGGGATATATTACTCAGCTACTTGTCAAAAAATATTTATATTTACTCTACTAAATGGCCATTTTGTGATCAACGGGACATTGGGGATTCGAACTTGAGATCTCTTCAAAAGTTAGTAAGAGAAGTACCACTTGAACAAGAGCCCGTTGAGCCAAAGAAGGAAAAGTGAGAGTAAAGTGAGAATATATTGGTGATAAATATAAATGAGAAAGGAGAAAACTATAACTTTTTGTTTATATTTGAAAAACTAAAACATTACAGACGATGTGGTTCGATTACCTGAATGATATGGAGCTGAGTGACCTGGATAACCGGCTGGGGGATATCCACTTGGATAGGCGGCTGGTGGATATCCCCCATTGGAAGGATAACCAGGTGGAGGATACCCACCGGAGGAAGGATATCCATGATGTGCTTGTGGCGGATATCCATATCCTTGCGGAGGGTATGATCCAGGATAGTGTCCAGCACCAAATCCACCATCATATGAATATAACCCTTTGTCAGTAGACTCATGTTGTTTGTCTTTTCCACCTCCCATCTTAGTTACTTCAAGTTCAAATACGTGAAATTGATGCCTAGCTGCACAAAGTTATTATTCAGAAAAACACTGAGGAAATAAAAATCCAAGTAAACCAGATAAAAATATAATAATATCTACCTCACCAGTAATGTTTTGTTATTATCAGATATTTGGAAGGTTATGTACCTTAGAGACTATGAATGTCAACCACACATCTATACAGATTTTAGCTAATCAATGATCATAATTCAGTATGAAATATTAATATGTCAAACTAGTAAGCAAGAGAATTTTGTTGTGCATAACAAGTATAGATAGTAGCAACAATTGTGATGTTAAACATCAAATGAAAAGAGATCATCTTGGAACCAAGTACAAAGATTTGTTTGCATCTACAAGTTTAACATGACCAACTGACCTTCAAGATTCAAATAAGTAACCTTTTCATATAAAACATAGTAAAGGGAAAAAATGAAAAGAAAAACAGTTGAGAAGCAATTCCTCCATTCAACAACAAAAAAACAAATGGCGGCCTAAGGGGCCTTTAGTTTACATTTTTTTAATTAGAATAGGCAAAAGAAAATTATCACAACACTGAAATATTACAATTCTAGATCAAATAACAGCATTATTAACAGAGAAAGAGAATATAATGACTACAAAGAAAAAGACAGAGATGGCTCACCAAAATGATTTTACAGTCAGATGAGATGGTAGTTTGTGGTGTGATGACTATCTTAATTTGGAAGTCTTTTTGTTTATCTGTTAAGGCTTTGGGCTTAAACACACAAACAAATGTGTGTGTGTGAAACTTGAAAGAAATGAACTGTATATATAAGAAGTAAAGATTCTCATCATTTGATCCCAAAGACAAATAGTATAGAACACATAAAGTTGATGCACTCAACACGTGTGCTTCATTATATGCCGTTCAGACGGTGAGAATTTATCTCTGAATGTGATGCTCTAGAAAAGGTCCACTAATTTTTGAGTACTTGGAACTTTCATGGCAAAATGCATATACTCTCAAACACAAGATGAGAGAATATATCATTTTCTTTTCCCTTCTTTTTAACCTCCTTTGCACCAGAAAAATGAGAGAATCTCCCATATTTAAAAGTATACCGCCTTTACTTTTTCAGAATGACGGAAGGAATAATTAAGGATCGTATAGAGGGTATCTTAATCCTATTACTATTACTCATCCATAGGTTGAAACATTTAGAAGAAAGATATTTGAATTGGAGACCTCATATCAGGAAAATAATTATCATAGGTTGGAATAACTTTTTGAAAGTAAGTCATCTTTCATTTTGAGACTTTTTTTTGGGGGGTTGAAAACAATGTCTCATCTATAAAAGTGATATTATATGCTTGTGGATTTCTTCTTTTATTCTAAATATTAAAATATCTAAAGGCGAATATTATACTTAAAATAATACTACACAAACTAAAACTTTTTTCAACTATTTATTCGTCTAGCAGTATTTCATATTTTAATAGCCAATTATTGACAAGTAACATGAGAATATAGTAGCTATTATATAAGCAAAAGTGTGTTTTACAGCACACTTTTGACAGCAAACACCAACAATTCCAGTTCCTTTTGATCCTCAATAAGTTGGCTCATCACAATGTAGCATTGGTGCAAGGCTAGACTTGGTAGTCCATGCAACGATTCCAGCAAAAATTTAAATGCTCCCTTCCTTCTTTACCATACAACTGGTTGTCAACATGAATATACAAACTAAGGAATATGATGCTCGAACTCACAACACAAGACATAATCAAGATTGAACAAGATTGGCCTAATCAAACTGAGGTGAAACAAGCAAGATCAAACTGCCAAAGTGTGCAGGATTGAGGTTGAAGAACCTATTACTCACCTCAACCTCGCTTTTGACAACTCTGTTACCATCATCAGATTTCAGCTACTTCAACTTCCACCTGTAAACACCCGCAAGGAACTATTTGCATATGCAAATTTGCCCGCGGCATTCAATGCATATTTCGTCGAATTGTACAAGAACTTTGTGCACCCAAATCACAAATGGTGCCTGCTCACAGAAACCTAATCAAATTGCACCCATAAATCAGAACAAGATTTATACAAAGGTAATAGCAATCCTTTCTAACTTACTTTAAAAATCAAACTCTACATCATTCATAAAGAAAAAGGTGAATGTTCTTTCTTTCCACAAGGAAAACTAAATACATAGACAAATCAACAACATGAATATTGTTTACCTCAGAAACCTTGTGCATGAGATTATATAAATGCATTCCACTCTCACGAGGTCTGGGTTCCTCAGATGAGATTATATGTTGAAAAAGCCTCTAATTAACATTCTCCACAAGTATTTTGTCCATAACAGCTCCCCCAGTATCCAAATCACCAACAAACTTAGTAAGCAAAAGATCCCACGAAGCACTCTTAATGTCTCCATTTGACATTGCCAATGAAATCACTTTTGTGACTTCAGCTTCCTTCCCCAAGTCACAGAGCCCCTCAATCAACATGCCATAAGTAGACTTGTTGGGCAAACAACCTTTATCCAGCATCTCCTCTAAAATCCTAATGCCCTCCTCTGCTTTTCCAATTTTACAAAATCCTTTGATCAACATATTATATGTAAAAGCATTCGGAGCACATCCTTTCTCAACCATGTCATCCCACAACCTCCCTGCCTCGCACAGCTCCCCCACTTCACACAGTCCCGCAATAAGCATATTGTACGTCATGACACCGGGAATCAAATCCGTCTTAAACTGATTAAACAATTTCTTGGCTTCCCATACTTTCCCCTCCTTACAAAGCCAGTATATGAGCGTGCTTGAGATTGCATTATCGGGTGTGCAATTGTTCTTCAAAAGCCTCTTCCACAATTCACTACCGTCCTCCGCCTTCCCTTCATGACACAAAACATCAATCACCTTACAGCAAAGTGCCGAACTCGGTATATACCTTTTCTCAAGCATATCATTAAGCAAATTAACCGCTTCACCCGACTTCTTTGCCTTACAATAAGCGTCAATCATAACCCCATAAGTCACCTCATTTGGGCCAACCTTATTTTCCTCCATCTCATCCATGACCTTCACAGCATCAACTAACTTCCCTTGCTTAACAAACCCATCCATCAAAATGGTGTAAGTAGTCGCATCCGGATGCCACCCTCTATCCAAAACCTCACCGAAAACCCTCTTGGCGCCAACCATATCACCCCGCGAAACATACCCTCCTAAAACCGTGGTATAAGTCACCACATCCGGGACAAACCCCATTGCAGGCATTTCGTCGAGCACCTTGAGTGCAGTCTCAACATCATCCTTTTGGCAAAGCGCTTTGATCAGTATATTACAAGTGAACACGTTGGGCCTAACCCCAAACCTCTCCCCACAATTTTTAAAGACGGAGTGGACCAAACCGTACTCATGGTTCTGAACCAAAGCGTTCAACAAGGCGTTCAGGGACTTGGCAGAGCGTTGAGCTCCAAACTTTGGAATGTCGAGGAAGGTCTTGAAGGAGAGCTTGGGACGACCCAAGACGCCGAAATTGCGAATGAGGGTGATGAAGAGGTCTTCAGAGCATTTGATGCCGGAGTTGCTGAGGTCTGAGAGGAGCGGGTCGATTTTGGGGTGAAAAGCGCGGGAACGAGAGAGGCGGTTGAGGATGGCGTGGTAGGTGTGGTAGTTATGGGAAAAGCCAGGGTGGAATTTGGAGGCGTGGTGGAAGATTTGGAGGGCGAGGTCGAGGTTGGGTTCGCGAGTGATGAGGTAGATGAGGCGCTTTGGGTGGAGGCGTCTGGGCCAGGGTTGGATTGGTGGGGTCACGGTGTAGGAGTCGAGGAGATCGACGGTGGAGATGGAAGGGGAGGCGGAGGCGGAAGTGGAGAAGGAGACGGTGGTGATTGAGTGCAGGAGAGGGCAGGCTTTGGCCGAGATCTTCAGACGCAGCATGAGCATGGTTGAAGAGTTGAAGACAGTGGCATTGGCAGATGGCCTCCAAGTCTCATGTGGAGTCGAGAAATCATTCAGTAGTACTGTAGTACAGCTGATGTGGAGCTACGGCCTAGTAGATTTCTGACACGTAGCAAACAATTTGACACGTCGGACGCTAAACTCAAATGCATTTAACCTCGTTATCGAACTAGTGTACATAAAAGGGGAGTGAGAAAATCAGTACCTAGAAAACGTATCAAATTGTTTTAAGAGATATATCCCGTGAAGGATAACAATTACGCTAATAAAATATTGAGATACATTTTGTTTCACCTAAAAGCTACATTTTAATGAAAGGGTCACATTACAAAATTTTGATTTTCCATGATAAATTTGAAGCATGAACATCCTTCACACGATGTTGCCGACGTTACCCATCAACGGGTAAGAAACCCTACTTTCTACAGGATACATGGACGCAATCAAAGCTCTCACTTGATTCTTCATTTGCTTCATCCATGAACCTTCTACTTCTAGTTAATTACATTTGCTTCTGGTAGATCCTTCTGTAAATTTTTGCACCTTCAAATTCTGCATGAATTTCTCTCTCAGTCCTTATCCCCATTGGATTGCTTAACACCCATCCCTCAGTGTCACACAGCACACTCGAGTTGATTTCATGGATGTGTTTCAGAACCTGGGGTTGAGAATCAAATTGATTTCTCATGTCAAGTGCCACTTCAAGTACATCTGACTGCATAAACACCTGCTCATACACATAACATTAGATAATTGGATCAAGCCTGCAGGTCAATTACTCATGCAACAATCATATTTGTTCATCCAAAATCAAGCCATTATTTCAACAGGGCCAAAATCATTGAAAGAGTTCATATAGAAGGCACGCACTCAATTTTTAAGATGAATTTAACACCACAATCTCCCACCGAAATCTCTAACGAGGCAAGATGAAATTCCTGACTTCTTTGTTAGGGCCTATACTTATCATACTGAATTACTCCCAAAACCTACATGGCAGTATTGAATTGACTCTGATATCATTTATCATGATCAAAACATCACACAATACCCACAAGGGAAGGTCACTGATGGAGCTCCTTGTAATCAATTATATAACCTAAATCGACACAGCACATAACCACTGTGAGACCCAACACACAAACAAATTGGGTTGGAATTCCTGTTTTTGATAAAAGCAACTATCTTGCTCCACTCTGTCTTTCTAAACAGTGCGGTCTTTCCTTTTATTTCCCATTCATGTGGGTTGGCAAGACTTCATCCTAAAGATCCACCCTAACCCGAGCCTAACCCTTGCAACCAGAGCCATATATTTGTATCCAGACAGATCTATTTTAAGAACAGGCAACAATCAATAGGAAGAAAAGGTTCATCCTTTTCGTCGTGATTGATCCCTGCATGAAAAATAAACCCCACCCAAGGTATATGTCGTGTAGCAAGAAACTGATGGGTTAGACTTCATGTGGAACAAACATAATCAAAGGACGCATATTTTCACTAAAGAAAAGTGCACAAGCTGCTCATCTACTTGACCAGCTGCATCAGGGTTTGATACTAGTAAGGCCATTTTCTGGAATTGAAAGATTAGGCTTCAAGCTCTTGATACTATTAAATCTACATGTCTAGTGACCAAAGCTAAACAAAAATGACAACCTTTTAATAATCAATCATAGTCGCTTTCAATCCCAAAAAAATAGGTCATCTTCACTTCATTATTTTGTAATGAGTAATTATACTTGGTTATTTAATCAAACCTGGCCACTGGGCATTAAATTGTTCACGACGGAATCTACTAAAGGCTTCTGTACAACCCGTCTCTTATGATGCCTTTTCTTGAAATAAGGATCCGGGCACTGCACATGAACATGAGCAAAGAATCCACTTAGATAAAGGTGTTTCAGCCTTATGATCGGAAACATAATGAGAATATGTCCTTGAAAATTTCATGAGAGATTAACTCACCAGGATTGAAACAAGCATCAATGGTCCAGGGTATGTAGACACTAGTTGTTGAAAGGAAGTTGTGGCATTAGCAAACATGAAATATCTGCCATTTAATTCAATATAATATATCACTTGCTTGCCAATAATATACAATAGGTTTCACCATCTAATGATTAAGGGTCTTACATATTACTAAGAGCCAGGTCCTTAACCCAGAATTCAGCACGCTTGACCAGCTGCATCAGGGGCAAAACATAAGTACATGAGAAACAAAACCATATTATTCTCTTGAAACAAGAAGGAATGAGTACCAAGTAATTATACACTGACTCAATCAGAAGAACTATCAAGTGTATCAAAAATAGCCCAAGGAGTTGTCCCATACTTTCTTCCGTATTTCCAGTCCCAAATAATTTCTCATGACTAAATTTCTTTTTGCAAGCCATATGAGAAATCTGCCACTACCTGAGAATGTTTACATAGTTAGATTGACAAATGATAATTGACGATTACATCAAATACCTATAATTGTTGAAGCAAAATTTGGAAGTATATACCTATAATATGAGCAAGGGTTACGACAAATATCACAAAAGATGCAAAACCAGCCAAGTATTTTTGCTAAGTTTCAGCGCACGAGACCAGGAGACCGCACACAAAGGCAATTACTGGGTTCTAAAGGACTGAACTAGATAAGTCCCAAGGAAGCTAGCAAGTAATTGCTGGTTCTATATGCAAAAATATCATCCTTGTCATGGTATTAAACAACTATGACATATATGCAATGCTGAATTGCTTATAATTATGAAGCACTAGGACTACAAAAATAGATTGCATGTAAGAGGGAGTTCATAAGAAAAGGAAAAAAAATGGTACCACATCCAATATCCACCATGAGTGGCAATGTCGGGTCCCTGAAGACTTGATTCCAATCAGGTACTTCCACAGGCACCTAACAAAAAGATTACCAAAGAATCAGAAGGTAACCAGAACAAAAAATTATATTGAATTATGTAAGAGAGAAAAAGAAAGAACACCCTTCAAGTCACATACAGAGAGAGAGGAACTTAGAGGGTTGACATGTTGCCTGATTCTGACATGACCCAGTTCCTGCAATTGAGAAAATACAACCCAAAATGAGATTTACATCAAAGATATAATAAGTTTCTTTTTCTTACAGAACAAAATTTTAATTTTTTATAAAAAAAATATGAAAACCCAGAACACCACATAACAATTCTTTCTACCCAAAACGAAAAAGATGATGAAATAACAAAAACAAAGACCTCAGAAATTTTGTGGGTGAGATTAAGGTCAGCATATTCCAAGGCCACAAGGTCTGGGCTCCTCACATACTGTTGCTGTTGTAGTTCCTTTGCACCAGAAGAAGCAGAGGCACAAACTCTTCTTCTGTTGTGGTGAAATTGATAAGAAGGTAAGAGTGAAATTGGACTTTTTAGTAGAAGAGCAGAAAGAGACCTTCTTGGCAATGCACCAGAGACAGTGACACCACCAACACCACTGGGTAAGCAAACCCAAGAACCCATCTCTGCTGCTACACCAATTTGGGTTTTGGGTAAACCCCTCCCCTCTCTCACTTCAGTTTCTCTCTGTGAAACTAATGCAAATGGAGAGGACACGTCAAGACCGTCGGATTATAGTTCCACGGCTGGATTAATTAATAACACAGATAAAAAGGACATTTCATCTTTTTTTCTTTTTCTTGTTTGCTAAATTATGATTTTGTCTTTATAATTTAGGCGCAGCTTCACTTTAGGGGCGTGTATTCAATTTAGATTTTAAAAGATTTTTAAAAAGTTTAAAAGTTTAGGTGTATTCAATCACGATTTTATAAAAGGCTATTCAATTCAAACTTTTTAAACTCCATTCAAGTTTGGATGTATTCAATCATGACTTTAAAAGAACTCATAAAAGTTTGAGTGTATTCAAAAACTCATTGATCATTAATGGTGCCTTATACAAACGTGGGTTCAATCTCCCTTACCTTCGGTGTCTTACACCAGAAGAAGACAACTATATCATTCGGAAGGTATATGAAGGCATTTGTGGCAACCATTCTGGTGCCTGATCTCTCGCCCACAAAGTTATTCGGCAAGGATATTTTTGGCCCACTATCACAACGATGCCCAAGCCTTCACCTAGAAATGTGACAAATGCCAAAGGTTTACCACCATCCCACAGCTCCATGTCGAACCATCGACATCAATGATCAGCCCATGGCCATTCGCTCAGTGGGGGCTTGACCTCATCGGACCTATGCTTGAAGGAAAGGGCCGGGTCAAGTATGTCGTTGTTGCTATGGACTATTTTATCAAGTGGGCTGAAGTTGAAGCCCTAGCTACCATCACAGTCGCTGGGCAATGAAACCTTTATTTGGCAAAATATTGTATGTCGTTTCAGCATACCCTAAGCGATTGTCATAGACAACGATATGCAATTTGATGATGCTAAATTCAAGCAATTTTGCTTCAACCTTAAGATCCGCCTTTGGTTCTCCAGCCCATCCCCAATCCAACGGCCAGGTAGAAGCTGTGAATAAGATCATAAAAAAGACTCTAAAGACAAAGCTCGACAAAGCCAAAGGCTGTTGGCCTGACATGCTCCCAGAGGTCCTATGGTCTTACCGCACCACTTTTCGCACTTCTACTGGAGAAAGCTCTCTCCTTCAGTACTGAAGCTGTTGTACCAGTAGAGATCGGCCAACCCTTATACTGAATGTTAGCATATGATGCCGATGCAAACAACGAATAGTTGGCTCTGAACATGGACCTCATCGACGAGCTTCGTGACCAGGCCAAAATGCGCAACTTCACTTATAAATAGAGTGTTTCCAAATACTATGACTTTCATGTGAAGCCTCACGCCTTCAAACCTGGAGATTGGTTATGCACAAGGTCTCGCTAGCTACCAAAAACTCAGCCGAAGGTACCCTCGGACCAACATGGGCTGCCTCGACACTTATCAGCTTCGCGGATCCAATGGCAAGCCCCTGCCTCATCCCTAGAATGTTGATCACTTTAAGTATTACCACAAATAAACAAGCTAAGGTCTTTACCATCGACACCTATATTTTCACATTTTTCTTATGCCTTTGGCACTTATGTTTTATGCTTTACCAAGTTCTTATGTACGTATGCCTTTCAACGCCTCTCTAAATGAAATGCCTTACCTTGGCTCATTTCTACCCACACAAGTGCCTTCGGCACACACTTACTGTTACCATTTAGCAAAACATTTGTTAAAACATAAAACATGTTATGATAAATTACCAAAATCACCCCACCTTATGGCAGGGCTAAATATGCATACATAATATAAGTACCATCGGCACTCTCAAGCTGTTTACAGAAGATATATATACTACATACAAAAACAAAAACATACAACGCCCTTAGGCTTCAGCATCCAAGCCATACCCCCCCTCCCCCCAGTAACCTGCTCAGTCTCCTTGGCCTCGTCGCCATCGTTATCTTCGACACCAACATTAGCTTTTGCGCTGAGAGAAACAGCTGCATCGGCAGACGATGAGGACTCAAATATCCATTCCTTGCCAAGAGGAATATGAGTAGGAACGCCACTAGTGTCGAAGTTTATCTCCAGCATAAAGTTGAACCTTGCTATGAGCTTCTCCCAGCCCAACTACTCCTTAACCATCCCATCCAGTACAAGGTCCCGGAACTCATCCATCGCCTTGTACTCCTCCACGGCCTTGGTACGAGCCGCAGCAACCTCATCCACCTTCGTCCACTTGGTTTCGGCTAGGGCCTATTCTGCTATTCCCAACTTCCTCTTCATCTCATTCAGCTCATTTTCCATCCCAGTGGTCTTTAGATGCCGGGTTTTTTTGCAGGATCGTAGCCTAGGCTTCAGCACTGGCAGCTTTCACCGTCTCCTTCTGACGCCTTGCAAGCTCCACCTCATTATCTGCCCTAGTTAGGGTAAGATACATCTCCCCAAAGGCCTGTATATGATCACACAGTAATCAGAAAGCAATTATTATCAGCAAACCATAACTAATAGTTTTGGCACTTACATTGGTCATAGACAAGACTGTCTTTTGCACACGATTGAAGAAGTCAGTGGCTGTGGTTTGAGCCAACTCCCCGGCATTGATCTTCTCCCTAGTCAGGAAGGCGTTCACCAAGGGCACCTCTTGACGATGCATCGCCATAGTCACTTCATTCTTCTACCGCCGAACCGAGGCAAAGTCAATATCCTAAGTATTCGTGGGGAACAACTCTTCCATGTCGAAC